TGGCTAGTAAATAAATACCTCAACAAGAAGGGGTTTTTTTGTTTATTTTGTTAATTCAGCCTTATTTTCAATAGTTTTCCTTTGCAGTTAGCTGAGAGAAAAAATTGATCGTGGTCTTCAACCTGTAGCAAATATACTGATACAATGTTTAGATGTGTATTTTTCCTCTCTCTGAAAGACATTGACTTTAAGTTAAACTTTAAGTTAAAGTTCCCCAAAGGGGTATCATCCTTGACTATGTGCAATGCCCTACACTTTATAGGATTCTTAAAATACTTTAATAATCACAATAGTGACATCTGAACTTGGAGCAAGGAATGCCATCTTGCCACAATATATGAAATCATTTGTTACCAGGGCAGTTTAAAGCATAATAATAAGATACTTAGTTTCATTCTTGCTTTAAAATACTTTCAAATCCAATAAAGAAGTGGAATATATACATTAAAAAGGGTTTTTATTACATAAATATCACACGGAAACTATACTTAAATTTCAAAGGATATTTCTCTCAATTTAACAGTTAATAATTAAGGCAACTAAAAAGCTATTTAAAGCTATTTCCATAATGCTAAAGTTAAGAATGCTTTCTTCATATTTCTATACCAGAATTTAAATGGAAACCCATTTTGAAGATAATATTTTAATTTAGTATAGATGTGGCAGATTAACCAAGCTTCTCTCCATCCCATAAACACACTTCCCTATACCCCTTTACCCTTTTTCATTTAATCAGTTAGACAGTACTATGTGATTGCCTAAGAGAAAGGTTGACAGTAGAAAATAGAGAGGAAAGTAATCACTTTTTAAAGCCTCCTATGCCTCAAAAAAGGGCAGCTGTCAGTGTTACTGAAAAGAATACCAGATTTGGACAAAATGTGATAGATAAGAGCCAGGCTACTCAACCCCAGGCTTAAAGATGCCCTTCCAGATCCAGGAAAAGCCATGAGGATTCAGGTGGGTAGGGACCACAGGAGGCACTTGCTTGGCTCTTTCTCCCAGGCTAAGGATGCCAGGACATTTCTCCCTCACCAGCTGGCCAGGTGCTAAGCTGTGTCAGTAGGGGGCAATGCAGGGACACAGAGTTTGTCTCTGCTTCTGGTGATGCTCCTGTCTTCCCTTACTCCAGCAGCTCCCAGGGGACAGCACATGTGGGACCCCTAGAGGTTGGTGCTCACCCCAGTCAGATCCAGTGGCACCCACCCTACCGGCAGCTCCCCAGAGAGTCCCAAGGAGCAACACCTACCAGTGGGTTGCCTCCCTGGTCCTCCCAGGGTACTTCTTAGCAGAACACCCTCACGTGATCATTCCTATCAAGTTCCACAGCATGGTCCTCACTGGGGATAGCTTGCCCTGGTATCTCAGAGGGATACTTCACATCAAATGTCTCTAGCATAGGATCATAGCAAATGTTCCTGACCTTTCTAGTGAGGTCTGGACCTCAGCCCAGGGTGGAAGTGTCCACTTCCATATTTGTCCCCTTCTTGGGTGCTCTGACTCAGCCCCTGAGATTATGACTTCCCTATTTGCTCTTCCTATATTCTTTAAACTTCTCTTCCCCTCTTTAGTAGATAATACTCTGTTATAATGCTTTTATATTAAACCTTTTCTCTTGAAGTTACTGTGTGATGTCTGGCTAGATTTTCACTAATATAGATATAGGTTCTAGAAATGTCTCAGGAGAAGAACTCATACAGACAGGATTTGGGAATTAGATTGATTGTGCCATTGAAACTGATCCTAGTGCTGAGTTGTGTTTGATTATTGCCAATAAGACATGGGATGACAGGGATCCACGGCATGAAGTGGCATCACAATTAATGAGGTTATGACCTTGGTGAAAGGCCAGATGGAGCAGGTGCCTTGAAAACCCAAATGGCTGCTGTTCTTGACTGATGTGGGTGACAGGACTATGGGATAGTGTGGATTCTTCTAAGTGCACTGGAGCACTTGCAGAAAGAAAATGACAAGCATGGGTCCTTTAAATCTCAGTTTAAGTCATGGTCTGATACCTGGAAAGAATCCATGACACTCTTAAAAGAATCTGGTGTTTTGTGCTTACATAGCACTTATATGGCTGATAATCAAGTGCAAAATTCAGTCAGGCAGGTTGCTAAATTACAATGTCAGTTGAATTCATACCTCATCTAATTTCTCTTGTGAAAGTTAGAAAAAAATAGGATCCCAAAACTTGGAGTAAGGATATTTTGTAGGACCCAGATAAAACTAACAATCTTGAAAACCCAAGTTGTCCTGAGCCTTCATTGTTAGTGAAAATAGCTTGTCACATGCTGTGTCTTTGTTTAAAAACTCTACGATAGCCTCATCTGGGACAAATGTCTTAAATAGGGATGTTCACCTCATAAGACCCACAACAAGGAGGATCAAATCCCAAGTAGGGTCATAGTTTAATGAAATCCAGAGTTAGTGTGGGTGAAATGCCAGAGCTCCTCTGGCATGTGGAGGGGGAGAATTCAAAGGCTTAGAAAGACAGTAACATGAGGAGGATGTACCAAGTATGATCTGCATGTCCACTCCCCAAACACATTCAACAAGAACCCCCAGAAGCTGCTCCTATCCCTAAGACATGAGAAACACGTTGCAGAGGGGAGCTCCAGCATCCTTGAAAAGCTTTAGAGTTGTTCTCCTTTGAAGGTCATGGTGACACTGAAGCATATGTGATTCCAATGTATCCAATTGGGAGAGGCCACATGACAGAAACTGACCACCAGTTGGAAGCTGAAGACAAGTTGGAAGCATTTACTATAAAGGACAGTAAGGATGTACCGTTAATTAGAATGCCTTGACCCACAGAGACCTTCGTGGTGGTTAATTGACCAGCATGTTCATGGAAAAGAAATAGCTGGACTGTCTACTAGAGTATCTATTGATCTATTTAACAGAAAAGAAACTCTAGGTCTGCTAGACAGAAACCAGGCCCAATCAAGATACATAAACAATGGCTCGGCGCCTATAGCTCAACCGGCTAAGGTGCCAGCCACGTACACCTAAGGTGGCGGGTTCGAATCCCCAGCCCGGACCCGCCAAACAACAATGATGGCTGCAACCAAAAAAATAGCC